CTGGCCTCCCTGGACTGCGTGGAGGCCCCTCCACCCCTCACAGGGCAGAGCACCCACCGTCAGCACCGCAGAGGCCCTGCCCGCCTTGGGGACACTCGTCATTGAAGGGCACAGCAAGGAGCTGAACTGACCCAAGCCTGCGGCCCTAGTGCAAACATGACTTAGACGCAGGTTTGGAAGTCGGCTGCCGCCCTCAGTCTGGGTGTGTGGCGGCCCGAGTGCGGATTTGACTTAAATGCAGGTTTGGAAGTCAGTTGCTGCCTGCAATCTGGGTGCCTGGTGCCTCACGGCCGTCCCCATGAGGTCCAGGTCCTGACTGTGCTTCCAAAAGGTGCTTGAGTGTCTGCCTGTCCTCAGTGGAATATCCAGGAGGGAAAATTCCTTTGTGTCGTGTTAGAGAATGGGAGAAGTTTGGGCTGCTCTAGCTACAGAAGCCACCCCAGGAACACCAGCCCTGATCCTTACTGTGCACCCCAAAACCCCAGATCCTCTCAGGGACAACCCTGGGCTGCATGGCACCCAGTGCTTCACACTCCTGGCACGCGCCCCTAAATCGCTTGTCCAGGTAAGAAGCAGTCGCCCTCCGCGTGGGGCCTGGTGACATGTGTCTGAGCGAGCGTTGCAGCTTCTGCTGACCGAAGGTCTTTTTCGGAAGTGATTCGGTTGTGTGAGTGAACAGCCAAGAAAAGATGGTCCTCAACCCTGTCCTAAGAGAACATTTCAAAGCATGAGAATTGACGTGTTGGTGATGTAACAAAACAGGAAGCCAGGGCGCCCCCGAGCGTCCAGCTAGGGGCTGGCGAAGGACGTCACCTTCTGTCCACTTGATTGATGAGATGTGGGGAACCATAAAATGTTGGTGATTCCCATGAAAAAACGCTCAGCCCGACTTGTAGTTAAATACTTGCTGGATCCCAGACAGTGCAAGTCCCAGCCCAACTCAGGCCTCAGACGAGCCAAGTCACTGGCCGACCATCCCAAGCCAGCCGCTGAGGGACGGCAGTGGGACCGTGACTCGGTGCTCCCTGGAGGGTACGTGGGTGCAGGCGCTTTGGTGCCGTTTGTCGGGAAACGAGTTCTTGAGAACTAGTCGGTGTTACTGACAAAATGTGAGGTATGATGGGTTACGTACGGAAGGCTGAGTCCGGCCGCCACACAGGGTCGGCTTCTGCAGCGTTTCCCGCACGCACTGTGCTGTCCCAGGTGCAGGGGTGGGGGTGCCGGAGCCGTGAGCACACCTGCACACAGCTCTACAGACACTCGGGAGACCCCGAGCCAGAGTCCAGCCAGGACATTCTCCCGGGTCTCCTGGATGCCTCAGAGAATGAGGGAAGCCCAGGGCGCTGGTTGGTGTCAGTGCCTGCCCCCCGCTGAATCTCCCGCCCTGGGCTGCAGCCTGCACAGGGGCAGCAGGTCCGTGTGGGGAAGGCTTGGCATGGGGACCATGGAAACGCCTGGTCCGCTGCACACAGTGGGTGCTGAAGAAATAGGAAGCCTCGGTTATCTATGAGCAAAACATGCCTGTGTGTCCCCAGCAACGCTCAGGACCTGAGAACCCGGCTTTGTCAGTGTGTGCTTGGCTCTGGGCTGCCTGGACTGGGGGCAGTTGTTGAGTCTGAGCCCACAGGAGACGCGCTGGCCCACAGGTGCTCTGGGACGGCCGTGGGGACCGGAAGGTGGACACCTGGCCCGCCCTGCACTGTCCAAGCAGGCTCCGTCCTCTGCCTGAAGTCATGTGGGATCATTCACTCCATTGCTGGGCCTTTCCCAGGAGAGAAAATCTGTTCCGTCCCAAACCCACAGCATCTTTGTGGCCAGGCGTTCGGGTGATTTGCTCAACTGTTTATCCTGCCTGTGGCCACAGAGGTTACAAACCAAATCCTAAACATCTGTGGCCCCAAAAGTTATCCTGAATTCTCTGACCCCCCAAAAGTATATCCTGAACCCAAACACCCCCGCTGCACCCCCAACCTTGCCGTCTTTCCTAGGAGAGGTCACCCGTGGTCATGACCTGCAGACACCTCCACCGCCACCACACGGGACGGCCCGCAGCCCTGGCTTGGACGTTGTAATCCAGGCTGTAGGGACACGGACGGGCCTGAGGTCAGAGCTGGAGTGGGAGTTACTACCCGTTCCCAGCTGGCAGAGGCTCAGCCGGGTGGGACCTCCCACCTCCGGGCCCCAGCCACGTGTGGGTGGGCACCGTTTGTGCTCCCCATTGCCCTCGTGGGACCTCCAGTGAGTCTGTGGCCTTCGGGAGTTTAGGCTGTGGACGGCTGTGTAGAGGAGGCTGAGCCACCTCTCTGCTCCCCACCGTCTGCTCCCAGACAAGGCCCCCCACGCCGAAGGTGCCCTGTGAACATACGGACAGGATCACGAGCTTCAGCTGCCGTGGGCCGTAATGGCTGTGGGATGATCGGCAGGGAGCGGTGTCTCGAGAAACGTGTGATTGGGGTGAGGTTAGGTGATGGTTGCAACGACGTGGTGTGGTTTTGGGGTCCCGTGGGCTCTCCGTGGTCAGGACGGCACCCGTGTTGGCTTCCTGCCGGTGAATGTGGCCTGGTGATGCCCACTGTGAGGATCCGGAGCGCTTTGGAGGGATGGCTGGGGGCAGTTTCCGTGCCTGCAGAGCTGCACGCTCCCTCTGTGCCGGGCGGCTGTCGGGTGGCCTGGACAGTGTGAGCACCCACGTGCCGGCTGGAGGCCGGGACAGACTGCTCCGCCCACTGGAGACCCGCCTGCTGGCCTGCCCGCTGTTGGTGGAGGTTTGTGGCTGGAGGTTGTTTTTCAAAATCCATTGCTTCCTTGTACATTCAGGCTGATTTTTGGCTCTGTAAATTGATTTTTTCTTTTAAACTCACATGATTAAATTAAGAGCAGTATAATTAGTTATAGATTTCATGACTGGGATTTGAAGCATTGAATTCACTGAGAACATTTTTGCAACAGCTTTAAAAGCTGGTCGCCAAGTTTCTTCTGCACGTGGGCAGACGTCACAGACACCGAGTCGTGTCAGCTCGCAGAGCGAGAGCTTTGCGGATGCCGAGTTGTGCTGATCGGGGTTCTCCGGAGGTGCGAGATGAAAGGGTGTGGTTGATTGGCAGGAGTCAGCTCACCAGGTCCTGGAGGCCTCACGTTGCAGTCAGCATGCCGGAGACCAGCAGAGCCTGGGTCTGAGTTCCAGCCCCAAGACCAGCACCGAGAGACCAGGAAGAGCTGTGGTTTCCGTCGAGCCAGGAGAAAGGTCCCAGCCTGTGGCCAGGCAGGAGGAGTCCTTTGCGCTGGGGAGGGTCAGCCTTCATGTGAGGCACAGGCCTCCGGAGTCCGCCACGGGAGCATTCTGTCCACCTGCACCTGTGTGAGGCTGAGCCTTACGAGCTGACAAATCGCACCTCCCAGCAGCACGAAACGTGCTTGTGTCTGTCGCAGCCTGTCCTGTGGGCGACCCTTGGAGCCCTGACTGGCTGCACGGCAAGGACAGACGCAGGGC